GACCGAGAGCTCCTCTCTATACCTTGTGGCTAATAGCCACTCATCATGGACCTCTACTCCATATGTTTATCCAATCCCCTCTTGAAACCGTCCGTGCTTGTAGCCGCCGCCACCTCCTGTGGCAGTGAATTCCATGTGTTCATCACTCTTTGTCATATAAAAGTAGGGACATGTAACTTCTTGTGAACAGGTTAACTCCAAAAAAGGGTTCACTTGCTACAGCTCCAAGTCCAGGTTAAGAGAGAGAAGAGAGTTCCTATATAAAATGAAAAAAACAGAAGGCCAAGCAATGGCCAACTGCCGTGTGCACCCGAGTGAGAGAATTCTCTCCACCCTTTCTCTCCCAGATCTCCTTGCAGGCAGGATTACAATATCCAACAGCATGTCCATGGGGAAAGCCCCAAAACTGTAAAATAACGATGCTGTGGATTAATAGCCGGTGTGTGTGTGTGTGTGTGTTTAAAACCAGAGCGGATGAGCCAGGCAATCTCTCTGTCTCTCATGCTCCTTGCAGTGTTCGACGCATCGCAAACCGCCACGGTGGCTTTCGGGAAGACTTCAGCAACCAGGCGAGCCATGATCACAGCTATTTTGGCTCGGAGAGATTTTAGGCTCCTTGGGGTGACGTCAAACCCGGGCGAAGAGGGGGGCAGCGTCTCTGACAACCCCCGAGCCTTCTCTTCCCAGTTAAAAATGGGCCGAGAGAGGCAGCAGGAGGATTAATTGGAACATGGTGGAGGAGGGTCGGCCAGAACACGATGGAGGAAGATCGGCCTGTGGTCTCCGGCTTCGGAATCCTTATTTGCATGCTAAAGAGGTGGCTTCAGCCCTCACAGATCTCACCCTGCCAGGGTGAAAAATGACCCAGGGTGGTCCCACGGAGACGGAAAATGAACGATGGTTTGCACTTAGGCAAGGGGAGCCGGGCATGCATGTGTGTGGGGGGGGGGAAATGCAGCTCGGGAAGGCAATCAGGAAAACAAATGAGTACCTGCAGGCAGCTGTCAGGAGGCCCCAGAAATACATACAGAAGGAGCCTGCAGTGAGTTTCTCGACCAAAATGCTTCCCTCCCGCCCCAGTTGAATGGGCTTGATAAGAATATGTGGAGTTAAAAGAGTGTGTGTGTGTGTGTGTGTCAGAGCTGGAATTTGCGGACTGGGAACGGTCTGACAAGGTGTGGAGCGGGTGGCCAGGAGACAGGGATGCCAGCCTCCTGGTGGGACCTGGGGATCCCCTGGATCCAATGTTCCCTCTAAGCTATGGAGCCCTGTGAGCAAAAATTCTACTTTGTGAGCTGCTGGCATTCATGTTGTGAGCAGGAGATTTGGCTGCTGCATCAATTAGTCTGCACTGAAGCCCTCCTTCCTGAGCGAAGACAAAAATGTGTGAGCCAGAGGCTCAAAAACTGCGAGGCAGCTCACACTAACTCAGCTTAGAGGGAACACTGATTACAGCTCCTCTCCAGACTACTGGGTACAGATCCACTGGAGGAAATGGATGCGTTGGAGGGTGGACTCTAAGGCATTGTGCCCCACTGAGGCCACCGAACTCCCCAGGTTCTACCCCCGTTTGTTTAGGGTTTTTTTAACATAGTTTATTCTATTTGTATCCCGCCTTACCCTGCGAATCTTCAGGAGTTTCCGAAACTGGATCCCTTCAACCCTCCCAGTTGAGAGCCAGTTTGAGAGCCAGTTTGGTGTAGTGGTTAAGTGTGCGGACTCTAATCTGGGAGAACCGGGTTTGATTCCCCACTCCTCCACTTGCACGTGGCTGGATGACCTTGGGCAAGCCGTAGTTCTGATAAGAGCTGTTCTTGAAAAAAGAGCAGTTTCTGTCAGAGCTCTCTCAGCCCCACCCGCCTCACAGGGCGTCTGTTGTGGGGAGGGGAAGGGAAAGGAGTTTGTAAGCCGCTCTGAGACACCTTTGGGTAGTGAAGGGCGGGGCATAAATCCAATCTCTTCTTCTTCTTCTTTTACCTCACAGGGTGTCTGTTGTGGGGAGGGGAAGGGGAAGGAGTTTGTAAGCCGTTCTGAGTGAAGGGTAGGGTATAAACCGAATCTCTTCTTCTTCTTCTTTTACCTCACAGGGTGTCTGTTGTGGGGAGGGGAAGGGAAAGGGGATTGTAAGCCGCTCTAAGACTCCTTCGGGTAGTGAAGGGCCATGGGGTATAAATCCAATCTCTTCCTCTCTTCTTCTTCCCCTCCCCCCACGCCTCATGGTAATTCCATATTTTAAATTCATCTCCCTGCTTGGTCACCAAACTTGTTTTCAAAGGGTTAATCTTGTAGACTGCCCAGTAGCCTTCACCAGCCGTGGGAGGAGGAGGAGGAATAAGAATTTTATTTATTATTCATTTATTAATTTCAATTTATATCCCACCCAAAGAAGAAGAAATAATTGGATTGATACCCCGTCCTTCACTCCCCAAAGGAGTCTCAGAGCGGCTTACAAACTCCTTTCCCTTCCCCTCCCCACAACAGACACCCTGTGAGCAATGCTCCCTCTAAGCTGTGGAGTCTTGTGAGCAAAAATTCTGCTTTGTGAGCTGCTGGCATGAAAGTTGTGAGCGAGCGATTCGGCTAATGCAAACATTAGTTTGCTCTGGAGCTACATCCTTCTTGAGCTGAGACAAAAATGTGTGAGCCAGAGGCTAAAAAACTGTGAACTAGCTCACGCTAACTCAGCCTAGAGGGAACACTGCCTGTGAGGTAAGTGGGGCTGAGAGAGCTCTTTCGAGGACCGCTCGTGAAAGAACAGCTCTGAAAGAACTTGTGACTGACCCAAGGTCACGCCAGCAGCTGCATGTGGAGGAGTGGGAATCGAACCCGGTTCTCCCAGATTAGAGTCCGTGCTCCTCACCACTACACCAAACTCCCCTTTTCAATCACTACAGTAGCTGAATCAGGTCCCCTTCTGTCCAGGGAAGCGGCTATAACCCCTTCCCTCTAACTGGTGCAACATGGAAGCTACACTGATGTGTTGAGAGCCAGTGTGGTATAGCGGTCAATAGTGTCAGAGTAGGATCTTAGAGAGCTGGGTTTGAATCCCCACTCATGCTACTGAAGCTCGCTGGGCGACCTCGGGCTAGTCACACGCTCTCAGCCTAATTTGCCTCACAGGATCGTTCTGAAGAATAAAGGGAAGAGAGGAGAATGCTGTAAACTGCCTTGGACCACCCTTGTGGAGAAAAGTGGGGTACCGATGAAGTAAATACATTTCAAGGTTGCTTGTGAGTGAAAGTAAGACACAGGGAGAAAGAGGCCTGATAAAGGGCCAATATTAAAAACCTAGTGTATACTTATTATGTACAAAAAACATGTATTTCTTAGAAATACAGTTAAGCCCAAAGAACACCTCATTACAAAGTGCAAGTGACCTGACGTGTTTCCACCCTTTGGGAGGGAGAGACAGGTGAGCTGAACACCTGGGCAAGGCAGCCAGGAAACAAAAGCCTCTTCCTTAATAACCACAACATTTGGGTGTGTGTGTCGGGGGGATGTCACAGTTTGACTAAACACGTTCCCCTGCTAAATGCAAAAGCTTCGAAGACACCACGAGCTGTGAACTAGAAAGCCAGCAGGGTGGTGGAGGCTATCCATGTATTTTACAAAATATCATCAGTGTATGATTATCTACAGAAGTCCCTCAGTGGCTCTTAGCCACAAGGTACAGATAGGAACTCTCGGTCTGGGGCAAGGGATGCTCTGTATTCTTGGTTCTTGGGGGGGCAACAGTGGGAGGGCTTGTAGTGTCCTGGCCCCACTGCTGGACCTCCGTAGGGCACTTGGTATTTTTGGCCACTGTGTGACACAGAGTGTTGGACTTGATAGCCCATTGGCCTGATCCAACATTGGCTTCTCTTATGTTCTTATAGCAACCCTCAGTCTGGGGCAAGTGATGCTCTGTATTCTTGGTGCTTGGGGTGGGGGCAACAGTGGGAGGGCTCCTAGTGTCCTGGCCCCACTGGTGGACCTCCTGATGGCACCTGGTATTTTTGGCCGCTGTGTGACAGAGTGTTGGACTGGATAGGCCATTGGCCTGATCCAGCATTGCCTTCTCTTATGTTCTTATAGGAACTCTCAGTCTGGGGCAACCCAGCTCCAGCCAGCCTAGCAGTTCGAAACTGCAAGTAGATAAATAGGTACCGCTTCGGTGGGAAGGTAACAGTCTTCCGTGCGCCTCGGTGTCTAGTCATGCCGGCCACATGGCCACGGAAACGTCTTCGGACGGCGCTGGCTCTTTGGCTTGGAAACGGAGATGAACACCGCCCCCTGGAGTCGGATTCGATAGGCTTTCGAGCAAGGGAAACCTTTCCCTTTACCCTAGGAGCTTCCATGAGTCACTGCTCACTTTTTCAGATACCTTGTGGATTGTGGTGGGGTTGTTTTTTTTTTTTTTTAATTAAAGGGTCTCAGTCTTCTGCAATTGGTGCGAAAGATGACGTCTTGTTTGTACCAGGGCAAGTCCCTTCACAAGACTGTACGGACTAAATGCGGTGCCTTCCGTGGAGACAGACCAAGATGGGTCGGTCGCCTGTCTGTAGCAGCAGAAAAGAGCCAGAGAGCCCAGCAGCGCCTTGCAGACTAACCCGATCGCTGTCCGGCTCGGAGCTTCCCCTGATCTTGGATCTCTCCGATGCTGTCAGCCTTCCCCACCGCAGCCTCGACGCCCCCCGTCTGCCTGTCTGTCTCCGAGCGAGGAGGCGTGCCCGAGCCGGAGCGCCGTCCGCCCAATCCGCGGCCGGCCCGCGCTATCTCCGCCGCGAGAGGCAGAGG